GATCACTTTATGCCAGATTCTTGGCACAAGTACTACTGTCCTTTGTTCTATAAGGCAGGGGTGTCAAACTCATTTTCACCAGGGGCCGCATCAGCCTTGCAGTTGTCTTCACAGGGCCAAATGTAATTTCAACTCCTTAACAGTTAAGGGGTAGTTACACTTACAGAGTCCTAAAATTATTTTGGCCCTTTGAATGCAACATTGAGGCTGATGTGGCCCCTTGGTAAAAATTAGTTTGACACCCCTGTTATAAGGGTTCTGATGTATCTACTTAATGAACCTTTTGTATGTTGACTCTAATGAAACACACTTCAAATCCTTTCTTGAATGCTGGTAAAATATTAAAATTACCACTGCCAAGTTAAATATCAGAGAGCATTTGCTAAATACATAGCCTTAACAGAGGTGATTCCTTTAAACATTATATTCCAACAGCACATAAGGCTTGAAAAATAATTCTTAAAAGAATCACCAGCTCACCACCAACACAATCACTAGCACCATTTTGGTGTCTTTATTTGATGATAACCAACAGTTATGCCATTTTCCAAAGCTAAACTAAAGACTAAAACTTCCCCTCATTCATAGAAGGATGTTATGACCAGGAATGCATTAATAACTTTTAAAAGTTTCTTAACTATATTCAAAATAAAACAGTGCAAGGAAACTAAGACACTGCCTGTTTTACTGTGCATAACTCTTTATTTCACTAATGAAGACTAATCTCTTTCTTCCCTAAGTATTATAGGGTTCAAGACTTTCATAAAGCATTACAAAGCTCATAAACTACACCCAGACTATACAGCTTGATCGATAAATAGTTCTATGAATCCTCAAAATTATGGTTTCCTCTAAGTCTAAAAGACAAGTTAGGCAATGATGGTACAACAGTTGTGCCTAAAACCTGTTTGCTCTTAACATAATCTACAGTATACAACTCTAGGGTCCAAGTGGGAAGACCTGGTTTAGCAATTTAAAGACATGCCTTGTTCTTTCCCTCTAGCTAATGGTGTGATCTCCAAATGTCTTTGGGCCAATCTTTCTCCCAGCTGTTCTGGAGAGGCCAGATGACTGGCTATGTCCATTCAATGAGAAAACTAGCTTCTTCTTCACCCTGTCTTTACCATCAGGCATAAATGCATCCAAAGAGCACAGAATGTTAAGAAATACAAAAAGGAAATAAAGTGAATCTAAAAAGCAGGTGGTAATAAGAAAATCTTAAGAATTTAGACAGAGGTGTTGGAATGTGCAAAATACATGGAGTTAACTAAAGTATATAGTTCTTAGGAAAATCCTAGGCAACCAAAAATAAAAATTTTCCCATCTTTGCCTATGCAGAATAACCAAATAAACCAAGGTTTGATGAGAATCGAGTCAAAAAGTTTAATATATTCAAGTTTTAAAAATCAAATGAGATATTGTATTAGCAAAAATTTTAAAGAAAAAATAATACCCAGAATTGGACAAGTTAATTAATCTATGAATCTTAGTTCCTTCACTCACAAAACAGGGTTAGTAAGGGTAACTCCTCATAGCAGTGTTGAGAGGATTAAATATACCATATGCATAAAGAGCTTAGCATTGGAACTAGCACATTTTAAGTATTCATTACATATTCATTATTATCAATATTGTTATTACTACTGGTGAAAGTTGAAATTGGTTCAACTTATCTGGAGAGCAATTTGGCAATAGTTATTCAAAAGCCTAAAAATGGTACATACCCTTTAACCTAGTAATTTCCCTTCTAGGGATTTACCCCAAGAAAGTAATCAGAAATGGTCAAAGCTTTACACTCAAGGGTCTTCATATTAAAAGCATTAGATCAAAATTGTAAATACCTAATAGGGATTTGGTTATCTAAAATTATGGTAAAACCCTAAGACAAATTATACTGTTTAAAGCCATGTAGGCTAAATATTAAGGGGAGAAACTATTCAAAATATATTGCTAAGTGAAGAAAGCTATGTGTCTTACATTTTTGAAAAAGTATATAAACACACAAACATCTAGAAGGTCATACATCAAAAAGTGAAGTTTGTCTCGGGTGGTGGAATTTGGGGGGATGTCTTTTTACTCAACATCTTCTTCTATATTTCTCACATTTTCTGCAATACTATCACCACCTCTTCTTACCAACATTTATTGTATTGGACAATGTTCTAAGAACTTTAGTCCTATCTCAATCCTCACAATAACTCTATGGGTAGATACTACTTTACAGACCAGATTCTTGAGGTAAAAAAAAAAGGCTAAGGATTCAAATCCAGGTTCTCTGAGTCCAGGGCCTAAGGTTTAACCTCTCTTAAGTGCTTGTGTGTATGATATACTACCTATATGTATGCACATTTCTTCAACAACTGGACAGCAACAGATGATCCTGACTTCAGAAGAAAAGCCACTCTGCTCAGGACAGCATCAACCCCTGAGAGTCTGTGAAACTGCAGAAAATATCAAGACTGTCTCACTTGAGGATGGGCTCTGCAGTTCTCCATCTGATGACCCATAGCAGCCACTAAACTGCCCTGCCTATGACCTTTAAATCCCAAGAGTCACACAGGGCTGCAGGTATCATTTCTGCAGTGTGAAAAAGCCAAAGGTGCCCTGGCTGGTGTGGTTTAGTGGGCTGAGTGCCAGCCTGTGAACCAAAAGGTAGCTGGTTCAAATTCCAGTCAGGGTACATGCCTGGGTTGCGGGCTAGGTCCCTGGTTGGGGGCACTGGAGAGGCAACCATACATTCATGTTTCTCTCCCTCTCCTTCTCCCTCCCTAAAAATAAAAAGTAAATAAAATCTTTTTTAAAAAAAGCCTAAGGTTGGCGGGGGAAGCTCCATAGGCAACATAATTCAATTATTTTCAATGAGGATTTCAGAACATGTAAGAAACCAAAAAGCTAATGATTAAGATAGAAACACAGAGACCTAAACTGTCAGCAATTTCCACATTGGGCTTAATTTTATCTTGTGTTTCCATACATGTTACTGTCCAGTTGTTTAAAAATGAAATCAGGCCCTGGCTGGTGTGGTTTGGTGCATTTAGCACTGGCCTATGAACCAAAAAGGTTGCTGGTTCCTGGTTAGGGCACATGCCTGGATTGCAGGCCAGGTCCTCAGTTGGGGGTATGCAAGAGGCAATCATAGATGTTTCTCTCTCTCTTCCCCACCCCTATGAAAATAAATAAACAAAATCCTTTAAAAGATAAAAATGAAATCAGTCTTACATCTCAGAAAAGTAGACTGGGATTGCTGATAAATTCAGATAAATCAATCAGTAGAAAACGAAGTTGTTCTCTCCCTCCCCTCTCCCAATATAGCCTCAAGTTCTGGTGTGCTGCATTATGCAGAGGGTGAAGGCTTAACACAAGGAAAAATAAAGTATATTTTTCCTACAAGCACAAGAAAAGGATTTAATAACCAAAGTTCTATGAGGGGACCAAAACAAAACAAAACAAAAAACCCTTTAAATTAAAATCATTCTTGTCCCCTAGCTATAACTGCCATTTGGAAAGTCTGGTCATGTCTTGTCTTCTTTATTACATACAGCCCATGAGTCATAAAGGTGTGGTCAAAGCTAAAGACAGCACCTTGGCTAGCCTCTTTTGACTAAGGTATTAAGTGATTACAGATGGCATCATTGTTTACACTATCATTTGCATCACAACCAGTGGCACAATAATTAAGCATTCAGAAGGAAGATGTCCACTACAGATACATGCTTTTATCAGTAGGGTCTACAAACAAAGTATAACAACTTTGGTAACAAGTTTAAAGAAAGAAAAATGGAAATAAAAGCATTTAGGAAAACATGTTCAAAGCCATGTTATTTAACTAATCATTTGTTACGGTGTAAACTTTCCCCTAATAGATCTCCCCTAATAGACTGTAATACTACTGTGAGTATTGCTCAGATTGATCATCAGGGTAACAACAAAACACAAAGTAGGTTATCAGAACCAGAAGATTCTACCTTCGGGTGGAATGGGAATGGAGAGGCTAAGACACCCAAGTTATCTCTAAGATGGCCTCAAGGTGCAGGTGGAGGATGGAAGGGGGGGAAGGGGGGAAGGAGCAAATTTAATTAGCAAGTCAATAAAAATCGAGTTGCAATGCACTATTTGACCCATGTCTTCCACTCTATTACCTTTCCTCAATTATCTTAACTTTCGAAACTGTTGAGTAAATTTCCCACAGTGCCAAGAGAAGTGGACAAGTTCAGGATAGACTTTGCTAGTAAAAAATAAGCTTTCGTATTATCTGTACCAGTTGCTGCACTGCTGAAGGTCAACAATTACAGGATTAAGTTTCCTTAAGGTTTTCTGGATGGCTCAAGCTGAGATGCTGGCAATCAGGATGCAGAGTTAGTGCATCAATCCCTACCGGATCAACTAGATTTAACGTAAGTATGGCTCCGAGTCTAAGATTCTAAAGATGTGAAAGCCAGCGCTTGCCAATCTGAGGAAGTCCTCAGTAGTCATTTTGGCGCCTTCAGCACATGTTCATTTCCCTCAGTACCAAAGCCAACACAATTTCGAATTAAAAAACTCCTTCTTAGATTCTAGAAGAAACACCAGAAGGGTTCAGTACGTTCTCCCGGTCAGGCTGGTCCAAGAGGTGAACAGGCACTTGTCCAGCCTAGGTGGCTCAACGGCGAACCGACAAAGCCACGTGTCCCCACAGCCGAAGCGAAGTGTCTTTCCCTTCCCATCGCTTTGGGAAGCTACTATCCCTGACCTGGGTCCTCCAGCCCCAAACATTCAAACCCAGTAGCTGCGCCTTAAACTAGATCTTGACTCCACTGCACCACACAGTGAGAACCAATGTGGCTCTCCCGCCATCGGTAAAATAACGGAAACAGCCCGTGGAGCACGCTCGCCTCAGAGCTGACCCTTCCCCCAACATCCCGTCGCTCTGTGGCCCCTTTCCCTCTGCCGCCCTGCTGCCCAGGTATCGCTCCTGCCGCCCGGGCAGGTGAGGCTGGTCGGGGTCCCAACTCCGCCCTTACCAGGTCTCCTGGTTGCTGAATTTCTTAGTCACCACCTTGCCTAGCTCCAGGCCCAGGCGATCAGCAATTTTCTGGGACAAGTCCTGATGGGAGCTGCCGCTGAAGATTTTGATATTTGGCATCTTGGCCAAATACCGTAGGTAGTCTTTGCTCAGTGATAACTGCTGCTGCCGAGACCCCAATCGAAGTCAGGCCACAGACTCAGTACCAACCGCTGCGCTTAACTACTCCGCCATTTTACGTCCTCAACCGGCGCGCGGCTCTAAATTGCCCAGAGCCCTGGAGGCGGGGCCAATAGGAAAATCCACACCCCACCCACCCGGATTAGCTGAGAGGTACAGAGGGGCAGGTCCTCCATTACAACCAATACTTTCAGATATTAGGGGGAGGCCATGAAAGGGGAGAGGCTAAGAAATAGCCCCGCCCAGCACAGCCTGGCTGTAGCGGAAAGATTGCTAAAAAACGCCTAAACGTTCTGCGCTTGAATTGGGTGGAAGGATGCTAGTGACGTGTAATTATTAGCTCGTTCGCAAGCGGGAAATGAGCCACGGTCTTTTTTTCCTTCTTCAGCACCAGAAAGTCAGTCTGGCTCTGCTTTACAGTTTCTTTTGAGAAAATCTCTTTATGCGGATGGCAGCCAGAGTTCGTCACAATGAAAGGGAGATTTCTGAACAAGTTTGCATGTTCCTGAATAGGAACGCTTTTTATTTTTTCTGTATATGGATGGGGCAGGATTAAAGCACATTTCCGTCACAGAGAGATACCGCTAGCACAGGCGCATTCAATGGGTTTGTTTGCCCTTTGCAATTGCGGCAGTGTCGCCTTTGCCTAGAAGACAAGTCTCCAGAGGAAAGTGACAGGGTACACCGCCTGAATAATACAGACACTGCAGGAGAAAGCTGTTCCTTGTTTCTAACGTCTGGACGGAGTATAGTTTCCCAAAATATCTGGGCAATAATAGTCTGATTTACCTAACACTTAGAAAAGAGAGAAAATATAGTGTATTTATTGGACTTTAGATAAAGAGCCCTGAATGATTCAAAGAACCTGGTTTTTGGTCCTACCTTCCTCCCTTAACCTCAACATCAACACCATCACTTGCAAATTGCTAATGTGGCCTTTTACACCATGCTTTATTATTTTTATGATATTTGCTAATTGGACCAAAGAGAGCTTTTATTCTTATACCATATTTTCATTAGGTATATTCCAACTGTGGGTTAGAAGTAAGAGAAAAGTACAATTCTAGCATTTTTTAATAAAAAATCATGCAACTTGAAATTATACAATTTTAGTTATGAGCACCACATTCTTGGCTGCTCAGAAAATGGCAGATTTGGCAACTCAGGCAGAAGCTGCCAAGAAGTGACCCATCTTGTACACTCCAGAATTTTGAAGGGAGCAGTTGGGAAGGGGGCCACTGGGAAGGCTGTGCTGAAGAGGAGGGAAGGTGACACCAACCTGACTATTATTTCCTCTACTTTAGATTATATATTTTACGTGTATAGATGTATCAAGAAATCAAGCCTAAATAAACGTATTTGGTCACCACAAACCCCCATAATAGAAGAAAGTTCAGAAATCATCTAGTCTACTAGTTTCATTTTACATGTGGTAAAACTGGAACCCAGAGATGGGAAGGGGTTTGTCCAAGTGGCAAAGGCAGAAAATACTCAAAGCAGCAGCCTATCTTCCTCGCACTTCCATTTTCAGTGGTGTCCATGGAGGAACTCTCTTTGTCATACAAAAAGTTTAATAGACTTGTAAATGACTACCATAGTAGCAGAGAAAGAAGTCTTCCTTCTCTCTTCCCACTCCATGCAGCTCTAGAAAATACAATAGTTGCAGCAAAATCTTCCTTTGCTGGGCCTGCTACTTCAATCCCAGTGCAGTGGGCTTCTTCTAGCATCACATTTAACTGGCTGTACCTCCTTGTCATCTTCAGACAACTTTTCCTGCTCCTTCTGGATATTAACATTTCTTTTAAGGCATTTTTCTCTTTTCAGTTTTCTGCCTATGTCTGAGTTTTCCCTCTCCATGCTGTGTGACCTATCCTCACTGTTCATACCCCAACCTTCACTTTTTCAGCCAACAGTTCAGTGCCAAAGTGACTGTGGATATCTCACTTTTATAAGCATATCAGAGGTCTTTCAAAGGCCACCACAAAGTGCATCACATTTGTAGAGACTGCCTGTTGTACTGCAGCCCACATCCAGCTCACCAGCTTAGTTGTACTTTCCACTGGGCCCTTGATTACCATAACCATGTTCTCTGTCTTCAGCAAGCATGCAAGCTCTTTTGAGGGTAGAGACTGGGTATCTGCCTCTCCCAGCCTCTCACACAGACCCAGCCTTGGGGTGGATGCATTTTACATGCTTAATAATTTAGCTTGAAACCTGGATTGACACTGAAAATAAATTAGAAGGTGAGTCAATGGCTTTTGAAAAGGATTCAGCATAGGATTTCTTTGAAAAAGAAAAGGACACATATGTAAGTTGTGGTTTTATTAACATTACTGTATCTTATGAGAAGTCCTGTTTCAGAAGATTTATGTAAGAAAGCAATGTTTGCTTCTTTTACCTTAATAAGCAGGATCTCGCTGAACCCTTTGGATACATTTCATTCTTCTAGGGCTCCCATGAGTTGGTTTCCTGTGAATGTAGACTATTGTACAAGGTCAGTGTCCCAGGGGGCTAGAATCATCTAGGGATTTAAGAGATGGGAGATTTCAGCCTCACCTCCCCCCACCACTACAGAAGGGGATTAGATGAAAACAGCTGGGCCAGGTGGACTTTGTGGTTTGTTCTGGTGTTTAACTTTCATGAGCTGGTACGTTCTCCCAGTTTAATTACTGACTGAGTAGTGTTTGGGTGATGATAAAACTACTTGCCTTTGTTTAAAAAATCCTTAAAGAATGTAAAGAAAATGTGCCTTTAAAAAAAGCTAATAGGCCCTCTAGTTCAACCCAATCATTTTATGTAGCAAGAAACTGATTCTCAGAGAGGTGAAGCAAATGCCCCAGGTCACACATCTAGTTCTTGGAAGAGATGCAAGTAGAACAAAAATGGGTACAGCTTATGCTTGCAGCTTTGATACAGAGCCAAGCTAGCATGGGCTCAGGGCTGCAGAAACTGCAAGTGAAATTGCAGTCTCTCCATTGCTCAGCAGGGGGTTAATCTGTTTTCTATTTGGTTCTTTACATTTTTTCATATTCCTAGGGGCATTGTACATTTCTGTTGTGCCCAATTAAAAGGGTCCTGGTTTCACTTTCCTACCAATTCCTCTGTCCTTGGTGGCCAAGAGTCCAGTCATTGTCATATAACTTGTTTGACCTGTAATTCCTACTAAGAAGCAGGAACCGTTACTTCCAAGAAACTGCAACCGGCTTGCCCATGTTAACAAACTTATTCTAAAATTTGTATGAGGTAAGGAGGGAAGGCTGTGGGATGGAGTAATTGGGGTCCTAGAAAAGGCAAAGAGGACATATTACCTCAATGGCTTGGACACTCCCCATTGGCCTAATATCATAATTGAAAAAAGGGATTTTCAACAGCCATGTTACCAAGGTCACACTGCATGTACACTAATGAAAAGATCAGATTCATTGAATTCTGTATTGGATAAGACTATACCTAACTTTTCAGGAAACCCTTAGGCACACCACAAATTTCTTTATTTGTTAATCAGATAACTGAAAAACTAACATATACCCGTATTATCAGTCAGTTTTTGCTTGAGGCAAAGAAGAGGAGGAAGAGGTTGTTTTGAAGAAAGAGCAGCCCTAGAGGGTTGTCACCATATAGGGCACTGAGAAGGCAAGGGAATATTTAAGGACCCAGGACATTCTGGTGAGAAAGAGGTAGGAAAGGTAACCAGAGATTGGGAATCAACGCCAAATTTGCTTTTTAAGCCATTCTGCCATAATCCTAGGAGCTGAACTGCTCTCTCTCCTAAAGGTCATTAAAAATTTCTCCTGCTGCCTTGAGCATATTGGCCGTATTTCGGCAAACTGCTAGGATGCAAATGGGATGCAAGTGGGATGCAATCAGTGGATACTGTAGATCGAACTCTCTCCAGCTGTCATAGGGATGCTGGCTAATAGTTTGGAGTTGCAAGTCATTTCCTAAGAGCTCATATGATAGACCCTGGCTTATCCCACACTTCCACCAAAGCATGTCTGAAGATAGTGAACCCGGATGCCGGATAGGTGGGTATGAGAATGTAGCCAGATATATCAGTTAGGAGTCTCAAATGTCTTTAAATTGATATGTATGCTTTATAAGGCAACATCTGCATTCCTCTTTATACTTTTACATATAAATATTTAATGTATCATTTTCATAATATTTTCCTCACAAATCTTTGAGAAAAATGCAAATACATCAGGAGTATGGGTCACATCATAACTGTGGCTTTTTGTGTCTGCTGGTACACTACCATGTTCCCTGGGAGACTTAGACCCCAGTTTGAGGAAAGTGGTGTGGAGGGGCATAATTTTGATGGTGCCTTTATGGGTGCAAATGTCATACTCACAACTTCCATGCACATATACTGCTTTACCCCTGGGTCCAAGATGTGTGTGGCACTAGGGAAATCCAGTGAAGAGAGGTGTGGGGGGGCGGCATTCAGGCGGGCTTGCAGTATCCCATGCCTTACACCCCAACATTATCAATGACCTGTTACAACCCATCTGGATCCCAAGCAACAATTACAGGTCATATTATCATGAGTGTGGATGCATCCATGCATGTTCCCAAGAGGAAGTGCTTCAAAGTTGGTGCTGGGCTAAATACTGCGCAGTAGCAGTTCAAAGTCTGGGATGGGTTTGAAAACTTACCAGCTGTGTGACCTCAGGCTAGGGACTTAACCTCTCTAGGTTTTAGTTTTTTCCTCTGAGAGGTAGATATGATCACAGTATCTCTCTCAAAGGACTGTTAGGAAGATAAAATGAGATCATGCATGTAAAATTCTTTATTTTTATTTATTTATTAGAGAGAAAGAGAGAAACATTGATTTGTTGTTCCACTTATTTATGCATTTATTAGTTGATTCTTGTATGTGTCCTGACCGGAGATTGAACCTGCAACCTTGTGTATTGGGATGACGCAGTAACCAACTGAGCTACTTGGCCAGGGCATGTAAAGTTCTTAACACAGTGCCTAACATATGGCAAGTGCTCACACACAGTTGGTTTTACTTATTTCAGGGTAGGGATAAACTTTTCTGTGTTGTGGAAGGCTCCCAACATAGTACAAATGCATATTCCTTTT